GGGAAGTCAGCACAACTGGACTAAACCAAAGCTAAGAAGTTTCCTGAATACAATCAAACACTTTGAGGGACAGAGTAGCAGGGGTAGAGGTCTGGCGACCATGCTTTCAGGGGACATCTAGGTCAATTGCCATAACAAAGCTTATTAAGAAGATGTTCTGCATCCTACTTTGGTGAGTGGCGTCTGGGGTCTTAAAAGCTTGCAAGCTGCAATCTAAGATGCATCAATTTGTCCCAACCACCTGGAGTAAAAGAGAATGAAGAACACCAAAGACACAAGGGAAGTATTAGCCCAAGGGACAGAAAGAGCCACATAAATCAGAGACTTCATCAGCCTGAGATGAGAAGAACTAGATGGTGCTCGGCTACCACCAATGAACTTCCTGACAGGGAACATAACAGAGAGTCCCAGATGGAGCAGGAGAAAGGTGGGGTACAGAACTCAAATTCTAGTAAGAAGACCAGAATTAATGGTCTGACTGAGACTGGAGGTAACCTGATAAGCATGGCCCCTGGACTCTCTTATCAGTCCAGAACTAAAACAATTTCTGAGGCCAGCTCTTCAGACAGGGATTGGACTAGACTGTGGGACATAAAGTGATACTCATGAGGAGTGAGCCTCTTAGCTCAAGTAGATACAAGAGATTAAATGGGTGGCTTCTGTCCAGAGGTGAGATGGGGAGGCAGAGAGGATTAGGAGCTGGTTGAATGGACATGGGGATCAGGGGTGGAAAAGAGGAGTGTGCTGTCACCATATAGGGAGAGCAGTTAGGGTCAAATAACAATGTATGTATAAATTTTTGTGTGGGAAAAATTTAAAAAAAGAATTATCAAAGGGAGTCCTTTGATCTGAGAACAAATGATTTCAGCTCACAGGCTGAATCCAGGATGCAGGATCATACCAGCCAGATACCAGTCTAGGAAATCAACTCGCAAGGACTATCCAAAACCAAAAGAAATACAACAGGGAATCAGAGAAGTTAATCTGTAAATGACAACAGCATCAGAACAATAAAAGAGGGAATAAACGGTGTAGGTATAGAACCTTCTAATGGAGAGGAAGGCAAGGCGATACCAAGTAATAATAGACTGCTTCAAATTTAGGAAGATAAGGGTAAATTTCACGATAACCACAAATAAATTTAACAAACCTACTCATCAAAAG